ATTCTGAACTGTGCAGCGGCCACAGGCGCAGTTGCCTCTTTAAAGAAATTCCGTGGGGACGTAACTGTTAGCCAACGGATCCTGAGTTTGAATCTCGAGGGATGCCAGGGGCTGCCCCAGTTAAGAAAGTAGCCAGAGGAAAAGAAATTACGGGCTCTTATCTGTGCCCTCTTGCCAGGAAGCTTGATCAGGTATTAAGAAGTTTTATCCAAAGGCTTTGAAATTCTTCATGTGCTCTTGCTCTTTTCATTCATATCATTCACCTTCCTTCTTCACCGGATTCTCTTGGTGTTGTTCCTCCTGGTCAATCTATTCTTCACCCTAATCACTGTCTCTTCTGAGCTGACATGCTTTCCAGCAGGTGAGCCTCCCCCCAATGGACTGGTCACTGGAGCCTCCTGCACGATACATAGGAGTGCATGCTCATACCATCACTCCTCTCTGTCATTGCGCATTGTGAGTGTTAAAAAAAAAAAAAAAAAGCTGTCTCTTCTGTGCTGTTCTTTACTGGACTCGCACACCGACTTTAGATTTCTTCTCCTTACAGATGGTCTGTGTAAATCTTTAGCAAATCATCAGGGTGCGCTATCGCCGTTATGCCAAGGTTTTGCTGTTGAAAACCCTGAGGAGCATGCATTTGTGCGCACAGACACGCTGGCGTCATGTCCAATTGTCTTTCAAAAAAAAATCCCCTGTCATGCTTTGCCTCAGTTGTTGTGGCTTGCGATTGTCTGCCTGCCCCTTACTTTTGCAGTGCTGCTTTGCTGGGAGAGATAACGGGGAATGGTGAAAGGCCAGATGATCAGCGAGTGTGGAAAATGTCGGGAACAGGCATGGGCTGCTTTTGCTGCCTTAGACCCTTCAGCACCAAGGTTCCAAATACTTCACCCCGTGTCCCGGTGCCAATCCCTGCTCCCGCTCCTACTCCGGCGACAGGACACACAAGGCTTCCGCCAGCGCCTCGTCGGTCGTCTCTTCGTAAATCAACGGAAAATGCTCTGGACCGGCAAACTTCCCGGAAAAGACCCTCGGTTGCCTTCAAGGAAACTGTTCAGCCCATAATCATCAATGAACCGCCCACCATGGAAGATGCATTCCCTGGTCAATCACCATTGCCCGGGACTTCTTGTGGGCCTTGTGACAAGGATGATGGGATCGGTGATCTGATTGTCATTGAGCCCATCCCATCAGGCAAGCGGAAGCTTTCTGAGTCCCCTAGTCGGGAGCTTCCCATTGTGGAGAAAGCGCGGTCGAGGGCGCAGTCCACAAATGTATCAAGGCGTGCATCCCTGAATGACAGGAGCCATCCTGGCACAGTGGGATATCCAAACTCAATAACCCAGTTGCGGGAAAGCTTGGAGGCAAGCCTCCGCAAACTCAATCCCAATCTCACTGCTGACGAGGGAGCCGCAGACAAGCCGGCTGGTGACCCAGACGAATGGCCCTGTACAGGCCGAAACTCGACAGCAGCCCAGGGCGCGGCTCTTAACAACCCAGCCAGGCAGCAAGCAGCGACTGAAGTGTCCATGGCACAACTGGTGCAATCATCATCTGCATCCAACCGGTCTCAGCCTGGTGGACAGCAAGGAGAAGAACGGCCCTACACGGGACGAAACTCGACATCAGCGGCTGCGGATGCATCAGCAAACCCAGCCATGCAGCAGTCAACACGGACTGGGGAGTCGACGGCACAGCCAGTGCAATCAGGTCTGCACACGGGCCAGGACGACAGTCATGCACAATTAACTAAGGAAACATGGAAGGACTCGGGAAGGTCAAAAGACAGGGGATGACACAGTGACAGAGAGAGTGAGGAGCAGCAGAGAGACATGATATACTGACCGACAAATCAGTTGAGGCATATTCCCTGTTTGCCACAGGCTGAGTAAGGATTGCACAATGTGTGAGAGAGAACAGAATGGAGGGCTTCTGAAGATAAAATGAGACGCCACGCTCAAGTTGGCGTAGGAATATGCAGTGTGCGGAGGTCGTATGGTGACATGACATCACATATTATGTACTATGTCCTCAATTGAGCAGGCTGCCTGATTGCCGGCTGCTGCCTTCATCAATCAACCTAAGGACCCCAAAAGCCCTTACGGCACCTCCTCCGTTGTGGAATGCTCTTTGGAACAGTTGGTTACTCCTGTGCCGTGGCAATGGGGTCAGCCTAAGGAAACGAGGCAGGATCTTGCATGTTGAGGGAGTGCCACTTGGCACTCGCCGAATGGATGCGGCCAAAATTCCAGTTTTTGTTCTTGATTATGATGCTTCAGCCTCATGGTGGAGTGCTTGGTGCTTGACCATGGAAGCTTAAACCTCGGTGAGTCTGTGGCAGCGGGTGACCTGTGGAAGCCAAGTTCTGTCCGACCTTGACATGCATGGCTGGCGCGTGCAGCCACTGGCGGACGATGCACTACGTACTATGCATGGTGGCTGGCGCATGCAGCCACCGGGGGAAGATGTACTACGTACTATGCATGGTGGCTGGCGCATGCAGCCACCGGCGGAAGATGTACTACGTACTATGCATGGTGGCTGGCGCATGCAGCCACTGGCAGAAGATGTACTACGTACTATGCATGGTGCCTGGCGCACAAACAGAAGCCTTTTCCTTCCCGCGCAGGCCGCTTAGTGTACTTCAAAGTTAAAACGGAACTCGGCTCCAAAGATTCTGAAGCGCTCTGAGTCAGACACCAGACGTTAGAATGATTGCCTCACGGCCATTCAATGACATGCGAAGAAGAGAGGCAATCAAACCTGTACCTCAGCTGGTAGGTTTAAACATGACAGTGACGGTCCATCTTTGTATGATGACATCACACTGCTCAGTGACTGCTGGGTTGACTCAAGAGTGAAGACTGATAGTCAGCCTCAGGGTAATAAACTCTGCCAATACAATCTTCCGAAGCCAAGTTTCTCCGTGACGAAGAAAGGGAAAATCAACTCACTCTCTCTTTTGAAAGTGCTGTGCCTCTCTTGTCAAGGCATATTATATTATCTCAAAGACGGGGAACATTCCCCGGGTGTTGACGAACTCTTAAGTCAGACTGATCTGGTTCTGAATCCAGTCTGCTTAGGTTCCAGTCTTCTTCTTGAAGTGCTTAGCGTCATCATTACCATCATCTTCATCTTCATCTTCATTGTGACGGTGCAATTTTATGGGGAGGTAGACTGGGCTTAGGATCTGGGAACCATTCCTGTTGGGATTGCTCTTGAAATGAATTAGGAGTTAAGAATTACGAAATTTATGGTCATCATGATCGTGGTTGTCATCATCATCATCATCATCATCATGCCGGTACTCGGCAATCAAGGGGAGGTACTAGGCTTCGTTCAGTGGCGCTCAACTATCTGGAAGAGAGTTCACATGGAATGTGTGGGGTCGGTGAAGTAAGGAACTTGATTTAATTTGACCGGGTGGAGGGGGCGATGACAGAAGTGAAAAGCTTCTTCAAGTTGAGGGTAGGTAACATTCCGGGCACGCCGTTCTCAGTCTGTCTTGGTAGCAAGAGGATAGTGTTGCTCTGCCCAAGATTCCATTTCTCATTTTAGAGTCTACCATATAGTATACTACTCTCCTCACGCGTATAGAACACCTGGTCATTGCATCTGTATTCAGGGGGGCAACTTTCAGTCTAGATGTTGCAACACTGACCAGGCATTCCGTTGTGGTGAAGACGGTAGCTACAAACAGTGTAGCAGAGAGGATATTTTCCCGAGAATCGGTTTCAGAAGACTCGTGGAGGAGAGCAGCTATATCCACTCATGTACAATAGCAGAGTTTAAACATAGGGCAAAGAAAAGACTAAGGGAAGGAACAAGGACGAGACGGGTGGAAGCCTTAGGGAGAAACGGTGAAGCATAGTGAGATGCAAGGAAGTAAAGGATGGTGCTGAAACCCAGCTGGAGCTGAGTGGACATCTGCCTCCAATGTGTGTGTAATTGGCTGAATGTAAAACTTGCTCATTCAGGGAGGTCGATCCACTCAGAGTCTGGTGTGTGTGCCTGTGAAGTGGGGTGGAGGGGGGAGAGAGGGAATAGGGGAGGGCATCATGATGAAGGAACACGCACAGAGTAGTGTGTAATTGGCCGAACGTAAAACTTCGTTGTTCACGGAGGTCGATCCACTCAGAGTCTGCTGTGCGTGCCTGTGAAGTGGAGTGGAGGGAAGCGGGGGAATAGGAGAGGGCATGAAGGAACACGAGCCGAGTGGCATCAACGTTCATATAAGAAGCCCTGGGGTTTCTCATCCCTGTAAAGGAGTTCAGGGAATGTTGAGGCGAGAGTGGCATCAACAGCCAGATATGGAATGTTCGGCCAAGTGGCATGAGCAGCCAGATAGAAAGCCAAGGTGGTTTTCATCGGACTCCCTGGAAAGGAGTGGCACTGCATGGAACGTTGAGCCAAGTGGCATCAACCGCCGTATATAGCTGAGTGGCATCAACAGCCAGATTGAGGTTTTTCATACCTGTAAAGGAGCGCTTGGACCGTTGAGGTGGCACATGGCACAGTCAAATTGTGTCTAAAGACTCTAAAACTTACCAGGCATGTCAGATTATTAAATGGAAAAGATAATATCCTATCTTGCCACCCAAACGGTTGGCTTGTATCCTTTACGACCGTCTTCCCCTGAACGTAACGCACTCTGATTCTGAATGTATAGAAGCGTTCTTTCTGGTCAGTTGCAGCCAAAATTAGGGTGCGCTGTGTTCTGGGGAAGATGGTAGGAGCACTTCAGCTGGGAGCGAGCATTGCAGTCATGTCCAGCCCGGGGATGACAGTGTATGTCCAGTAGCCCGGGGAAATTCAGTGAGTTTGTCGGCTCCTGATATCAGCCTGCTGCTTTGCTTGCGTATGACGACTCACTGGAAGAGTGGGTCCTGGGGCAGCATTTCTTCACTCCCACATAATGACATTGTGTGCTCCTGCTTGCATGTCGCTGTTCACATAATGTGTATTCCTGCTCGCATGTCGCTGTTTAGACAGGCCAAGCACGCCAACTCCCTTCCACATGGTTCATGCCACCGTGACCGTGACTGTGATGGCTTTTCAGGTGAAAATGTCGGTGCAATGTGCATGCAGGCAATCATCGACTGACAGGGTGATGTTGTTGCTGGCACTCGCTGAGTGGGGGGAACCTCTTGTGACTGCAAGGGCGGGGGTTGGGAGGAATGAGAGGGTCAGTCACTGCTGGTTGTTCATTTGCTCTGGTATCACTGACCTAGCAGCCTGGTTTGTTTCCAGTCTTCCAGAAGCTGCTACAGTGGGTTGGCGTCAACTTGCCGATGCTCAAACAGGTTGGCAGGCAAGCCAGGTTTCCGTTTCCTCAAAGTCAAAACATGACCACTAACTTAAAGGCGGCATACTTTTGTGTGTGTTGCTACCTGTGGTGCAATGACTCGTGACAACGGCATGGCATGAGATGTATGAGCACAAATGGGTCTGGCTTGGTTCTCCCCACTTGAACTAAAGAAAGTGAAGTGGGTACTACTACCGGTAGCGTCTTGCTCATTCTTTACTGAATCTTTACGGACAAACAAGGACTGACCTAGCCTGAAGGAAAACCCCGGACGAGGTCAAGATCACCTCAGGCTGCCCCTTTCACTAAGTCTGTTTTCTGACTGGCAATGCCCTGCAGCAAATTTGCCGCACATCATCCCGAGTAGATTTCTTCAAGGGCAGATGCGGTATCATTGCAAAGTCAAACTGGCTCAACCGGATCACCACCACTGCAGGCTTCATATTCTACGGTGTCTGACGCGGCCCACATAGTTCTGACCTTCTCCGGTACCCCGCTGTTTACTACCATGGCAGACCTGGGTTAGTCAAACTGGGTTAGTCAAACTGGGGGGTTAGTCAAACTGGGTTAGACAAACTGGCTTAGTCAAACTGGGTTAGTCAAACTGGGGGGTTAGTCAAACTGGGTTAGTCTCCCACCTATTTTGTAGTTGCATTTGTAGTTGCATTGGAGGGTTGTTTGGAAGTTGTCAGCTATTCTTAGGGTGTAGTCCTCCAGAGTCCAGGCTCCAGTCTTGCCTCTGATGGAATGATCATGGAAGCAAGAAATACCTTAAGTCTGATGCCTTCTCACATCTATTTCGTGCTGTTGTGCTGAATTCGCACAGCATGCCATTGTATCGGTGACATCATGCGAAAACTACCTGCTGTCACAAGAATCGAGGAAGTACATTCCCGGAATGCCTTGAAATCACAAAACCATGGAGTCATCTGCTGGTGTAACTCCTTTCTTCTACGTGCTGTGTGTGCAGTTCTTAGAGATCAGCCCTACTAGAGACGCTGAATCAAATATGGTACATAAGTAACATAACCATATTTAACAGCTCCCCAAACCCAGGGATCATTATGAATTGCGTGCTATTTAGTGGACCCTGACCCACAGCTGCAGCTCCTTTCTGTCTTTGTGTACTTTGTGTTTAGAGGGGGTGGCATTTCTGTCCTTGTGGTGAGTCTGGCGTCTCTTGCAAATCTGTGCATTCACAGATCGGGGAAGTCAGTTCAGGAGCACCTGCAAGATCCTATATAATGCAGCACGAGTTATGCGTCCAAACGTCACACTTCAAAGGCATACACCCGCCACTACCATTATGTGCAAGGTTAACGAAACAGCACAGTGCGTGAGTATACTGTGGACAGTGACACCAGTTTTCATGTTCCCCGTAGACCATCCTTTCACCTTTTTTTCCAGAAGTAAATTTGGGACTATTATTTATCTGACAGTGTATCTAGGGCAATCCTTAGGTCAGTTATTCCAGATTTGGTGACCCCACTTTTGGATGGTCAGCCTTGCAGTGAAGGGCTACACCTCCTTGGACCATGTCCCTGTATGGAGATTATGACACCTGTTAAGTATATTACTTTTTTTTTTTTTTTCACTTTCATAATTCAGTACCCGTGAAGTTCATTAGTACCATCTGATCTTAATGTCCATATAAGTTCATTAGCTTCGTTATTTTGATGATTCAGCACCTGTTTGGCAAGAATAAAAAAAAGTTCATTATGGGGCTCGCTCCAGTACTCACCGAATGTGCAGAATGAGAATGGATCTTCCGCTAGAACATCCGAAGATATAGTCTGATATACCTGCATATTTTTTCTCTGTTGTGCATGTGCTGAGTAGTGGAGCGGCCCTATTACCCTGGCTACCCCGCAGACCAGACCCATCCAGATACCAGACACAAGACAAAGACTGACTGAATCCGGATGTCCATATCTGATCCCCACCAAGGGGTGGCCTAAACTATTTTTTTTCCTTTTTTTTTTTTCCTGGAATTTGATAGACTCTCAGTGAAAAGTTGTTTGTATTGCAATTCTGCAACGAAGGGCGAGCTTTTAGAGAAGTAGGTATATACATACCCAAGTATAACAAAACTCAGCTGAATGTACCTGCTATAATTGAATTATTAAAAAACAGTGCTCAACCTACTTCAACAGTCAGAAATCAACAGTCAGAAATATCCTTCTTTAAGCTCAAATTGTTGTATAAACCTAAAAAGAAGAACAATTATGAGATTCAAAAAAAAAAAAAAAAAAAAAAAAAACTCCACCAGTGTTAGTGATGCTGATAAGAGAAGACACCACGAGCACCTATGGAGAGGCTCCGTCTATTGGTGGGGAGCATCACCTGCTGGAAAACGGGTCCAGTGTCCCTTATACAGACTGAGATTGAGATACATTTGAGCTATATATGAGCTACATCTATCACACTATTTTTGGTTTGTTCCTGCCAGCATTGATTACCCTGGGATCCAGGGGATTGACTGAGCAGTATTGGGGGGGGGGGGGGAGACCTCTTCACCTTGGATCCGGCGCCAAATACACAGCTACGCACTGGTTCCTCCCCCTGAGAGTTGTTGAGACTTTGCTAGCTACAGACTGAGATTGAGATACATCTGACTACATCTGCGATACATTTATCACGCTATTGTAGAATTGTTCCTGCCAGCATTGATTACCCTGGGATCCAGGGGATTGACTGAGCAGTATTGAGACTTTGCAAGCTGGAGGCCGGGTAGTTTGGGGGGGGACCACTGGGGGGCACCAGTGGGGCCTCCTTTCGTCACCCTTCTCCTTTGAACATCAGGATGTTGAGAAGTGGAGTGAGTCAGGGTTGAGCTTCCGTCACACCAAGTGTCCGGTGTCTGCATGGACACCCATGGAACTTGTCTGTCCTCTCTTCAAACAATTGCTTCAAACAGGGAGAGCGGATGTGGAGGGAAAGGGTCTGGGAAGTCTGACGGGGGGCGGAGGGGGAAGGATGGTTCGATGGCTGTCCACTCGTTAAAAGTCAATCGGTAGTCTCTGCATTCTACCAACTCCAGGTGCTGCTGATCTTCCTTATTGCCGCCCCACTCAATCTTCGCTACCCATCCGCCTCCTTCCCCCCTTAGCCAATCTCCCTGGAAGGAAGAGATTGCCTTCCTTATGTCTTTATTAGTCTGAAAACAGTCCAGTTGGCGCTTCAAAATTTGCCACCTTCTCATTAGTTCTAGCTGGAATTGTTGTTGGATCTGCTCTGTTACCTCAGGGCCTTCTACCTGTACATATTCTCTGGCCAGGAGGCAACGTTGCCACCAAAGCCCCCACAGCACCGCTCTACGGCCTTGATTGAACATGTTTTCTGTGTACGTAGATGCCTCTTGGGCCTGGGGCCAATATCCTAACAGTATTGCCCCCCTGGTCCAGGGCCATGGAGTGTCAGGGACCATCTTTCTCCAGATTCTGTCCCACCAACGCTATGTGAGTTGTGCGGTTCGGCATTGCATGAAAATATGTTCAATTGTTTCTGCACTTTTCCGTGGAGGGAAGGTTCTCAGGCACCGTGTACACCAGGGGAGAGCTTGGCCTTTTTGTTCCAGGTTTGTGTCAACCAATCCATTGTTGGCAGACATCGATGCACGATCTGCCACTGCAGGGAGGTGATCTTTGCCGGTTACTCTTTTCGCCCTTGGAACCAAGGTATCGGCGTCAGAAGGGAGCAGTCTACATTTAGATGTTTTGTCCATCTGTCAATTATTCTGTCTTTTAGATGGCGTTTGGGTCTGAGCATTTTGTATGTAGACTTTACCGTCAGCTTCTGGAGGCTAATCACAACAGTATGGTTGGCTCTGCGCCCCACAGGTTTCCATTGCCATTCTACAGGGTCAAAGGGGAGGTCTTGAATCCCGATGTCCGGTTGGAATGCGCAGGCTTTCTCCCCATCCCCAAGGACTCGGATTCGGAAAATATCTACATTGTCCTGCCAGATAAAGGGGGCCCGGCTCCCTTGCAGCACCCCTGATCTGCCAACTGCATACCTCTCTACTAGGGCGTCGTCATTCCGGGTTATATGGACTCTCCCCACCTGATCAGCGATCCCTCTTATCGCCACCCAGTCCCCTTCTTGTAGTGATGGGCCTCTCCTCAGTGGTGGCAGTACCTCAATGTGTTGTGTAGTTCGTCAGCCGTTTTCCAGCAGCGGCGGTTGCAGTCCCACATATCTTTTATACGAGTAACCTCGTTTTTCACCCATCTTTCCCATGGGGTTGCTGAACTGCACATTACCTGGCTGTTTCTGTCAGTAAGCCAACGATTTCCGAAGAGGGGCTGACGAAGTACCTCCTCCCATCGGTCCGGGTCTTTCTTGTTTGGGAGGGGGAGTTTCCTCCAGCTTCGCAAAAGTGACGGCCAAAAGCCATCCATTCGTTCTCTGGGCTCCCCCCGTCTGCATGGCCACTTTCGGGGAATAGCCCGGTAGCGGTCCTCCAACCAAGTTAGGGGGTGCACCCCCGAGGGGGCCTGAGGAGCTATGCGGGTTAAGTGTTCTAGAGCCAAAGGTTTCCAGGGGTTGTCCTTGTCAAAAATCAGCTTCTTGATCCACTGGAGTCGGAGTGCTGTAGTTTGAGTTGTAGGGTCAATTATCCCTAAGCCCCCTGCTACTTTCGGTTGTATGATTGAGTCCCATGCCACCCTACTTATCACATTGTTAGTTCTCCGTCCCCTCGCCATAAAAAGGCCGCTACTTTGGCTTTGAGTGTGCGCAGTGCCTCCTTACTCAGTGGCCACACCAGTGACTTATACCAAAGCGAGGCAAAGACCACATTGTTTATAACCAATGCTCGACCGAAAAGAGATGTGGTCTTGTTTCGCCAATTGGACAGTTTGGTTAGGGTGGGGGAGCTGATCCATTCATCATTGATTTGAGGGCACCCGGTCGCTGTTATTGACACCCCCAGGACTCTCAATGGGGCTTCTAGGGGTAGCCAAGAGACACAGGGGGTCTCAGGAGGTCGTCCTCCTTGATAATGGATCCACCATCCGTGTGTTTTATTTCCCCAGTTGATTGTCATGTCTGAGACCTGGGATAACTTGTCCATCATTCCTTGGATTTCCTCTAGATTGTTCGTGGTGGCTTCCATCATGACCGTAAGGTCGTCCGCAAACAAGGAACACACCGGGACTGCTTCCTCCGGGATATTGGTTATTTTAATCCTGGTGATGTCCTTGTTTGCACGGAGGTTTGTTGATAGCGCTTCCATAATAATCAGAAAGAGGAAAGGCGTTATGGGGTCTCCTTGTCGACCCGACCTTTCCAACTGTATTGGGGGGGTCAAGGAGCCGTTTAGCTGTATGCAGGTGGTGGCGTTATGATGGAGGGTATGAATCCATCGCTGAAAAACCGGCCCGAAGTCCATTTTCCGCAAACAGCTATCCAAGAATTCCCAATCTACGTGATTGTAGGCCTTTTCAAAGTCTATAAACACCATTGCCACATTTTTGCGTGAGTGTCTAGCTAATTGAAGGACTTCGTGGACCAGCAGTATGTTTTCCTGGATATTTTTGTTTTGCATGAAGCCGGTTTGTGAGGGGTGGATGATGTCTTCCATCACCGGGATCATTCTGTTGGTCACTGCCTTTGCCAGCATTTTGCATGTTAACGTGAGTAAGGTTATGGGTCTGTAGTTCCGGATATTCATTTTGTCTCGTTTTTTATGAAGCAGCGAAATGACCCCTCCCCCTACCATTTTTCCCATCCCTCCCGTGTTCCATACTTCGGTGTAGAAGTCCATCAAGTCTTGGCTTAATGGGTTTCACATTACGTCCCAAAATTCTTTGGGGAGCCCGTCAATGTCGGGAGTCTTTTCTTTCTCCATTTGCGTCAGGGTTGTCCAAATTTCCTGTTTAGTCAGGAGGCCTTCAAGGTTTTTTCTTTGACTATCTGATAGGGATTTATTTAAAGGAGCTAGATATTCTTCAATCATTCCACGACACGTCCCCTCTGTGTGTGGTGGAATGTGTGAGGAAAATAAGTCTTTATAAAAGT